GCACCTTGCTTCCTTGTGGTAGCACCTCAGCAGTGGCTGCCAGCTGCCAGTTACCTTACCTGTGGTTCTTGAGTCAAGGGTTGACTAATGCATTTTGGTTTGTTTTGTGATTCTGGTTATGCCATTTAAGTTCACTTGTAAGTAACCTTTCCTATTATTCTTGTTTTGTAAATAAAATGTAAATAGTTAAATCAGTTAAGTGTTAGACCTTCTTGGGACCACGGGCTGCCCTGTGGGGGGCAGGGGCCGGCTGGGAAGTAAATTGGTGCTGGCCGGAAGCCCTGCCCCACTCTCACTGCACCATCCCTGATATTGGGCAGGGCTGGCAACTATTGGGCCACCACCTGGGTTACATATGTTTAAAATTATTTTTGCCTTAACAAAGTCATTTTGAGCAGGAGTAAATTTGCTTTTCCATTTACAAATGTGAACACAGGGTGTTTCAAAAATTTTATAGTTTAAAAAAAAATTCCTCTAGCAGAGAAACTTGACAAGACTGACCCTTCACTGCAAAAAGTCCCAGTTCTGAGAACTCTGTATATCTCACCAGAAAAATGTATTTGGAGAATTCCTGGCCAGCTGTACTGCACAGTCCATGGATACACCCCAAATGACCAAAACACCATAGTGATGCTGCAGGTACCCCACATCCCTGTGGTGATTTTATATTAATGAAGATTCCCAGGTTAAGGGGGCGAAGTATGTTCAGTAAGCAAGATGATCATTGCTATCTTCTGCCTAACATCTCTAACTATCTATATAGATTTTTAATCTTCAAGCCCATGGCTTTGGATTTCTTGGGGCAAACAGTACCATGAGCTAATAATGGAAAAGTATTTCCTTTAATCAATCCAGTGAAAATTTTAGATTGGTTTGTGTTTGAGATCATAACCTTGGACCTTTTGGAACCAGTTGCTATAGACTGTCTCAGGCCAGCAAGTAAATGAAACTGTTTTGCAAATTTGAAGGAGCCCCATGAGTACATCTGTGGACATGGGGAAGTGAAAATGCTGAAGACCCTGTGTGGCAGGAAGCCACCTTTGTTTCTTCCTCAAAAAACTCTGCTCTGTGACAATTTGATTAGGATGGGTCCAGCAGAGAGAGACATCCTTACCCTATCTCTTTGGGTAACCTGAGCTGGATACATTTTTGAGGGAGGGGGGAAACCTGCTCCCTCTGCCTATGTGACTGGCATCACATACCTGGGTGAGGGGCCTCCTTCCTGGTGGGCCAGTCTGCCTAGCAACTAGTGATGTATTTCAAATTGGTTGGCTGACAGCCAACAGGTGCTGGCCTCCATTGGACCAGGTAAATGAAGTCACAAGGGCTATATAAGTTAAGGACTGCCCAGGAGGGGAGAGGCAGCAGCCATGAGGGATACTTAGGAACAAAGAAGAGCTGGACCATCTGAAACTTGCTCTCTCTCTCTCAAAACTCATGATCAAGGAACTGCTTTCCTCCAGAGGGATTCTCCACCTGCCTCTGGATGATACTTGTGAGTAAGCTAACTGAGATCCAACTAGATCTATAGCTTGCAGGAACTCAGATGCGAGATCAAAGGCTCCCCCAGCCACAGGAGTTTGCTCTATGGGATTTCTCTGATATTGCTCTACCCTGTACCCTATTCTAACCCTACCCTCTGTAACCAATCAAGTTCTCCTTTGTACCTAGTGTAGGAGACTTATTGAGGGGTGGGTTTAATTATGCCGAGGAGGCCCCTTGGGTCTGCGGACTAAGGGAGACTATCCTTTTTGGCCCTTGACTTGGGGAAGTGCCCCAAGTTCTTGTATTGGGTCGAGTATCTGTAGGACTATTAGGCCTGTGTTTCCCCAAGGACACAGGCCCCAGACAGTCCCTTCTTGGGGTGGTGGCAGCACACATTACCCCCGGACTCTGCGGTGGGGCTTGAAAGGGAGTCTGCCAGGGCTTAGACACCCCTGGAGAGACACGTGGAGTCCGGAAGGTGGACGGGCGTAGTGAGGTGGGAGGCTCAATGTAGGAGCTCCCCCTACTGGCCTGCCACACCCTGACAATCAGGCTTGAAATGAGATTAGCCAGTTTTCTTAAGGTATGTTTCCCTCCATTTTTTCCAAAGGATCCTATCCTAAGTTTTAGGTCTCCCTGTGCTGAAATGTTCAGGGTAAAAGCACAAGCAGTAGCTGGTATATGCCTTGTAAATGGAAGGACCCTTGACTGCTAAATACTTATCTTTAGGGTTCTCCTTTGAGAGGGATGGGCCACATCTGTGTCCTCATTTCTAGAGTTCCAATACAGATCATAGAGCCAGAGAAAATTAGGGTTGGAAGAGACCTCGGGAGGTCATCTAGTCCAACTCCCTGCTCAAAGCAGGACCAGCTCCAACTAGATCATCCCAGCCAAAGCTTTGTCTAACCAGGTCTTGAAAACCTCCAAGGATGGAGAGTCTTCCACCTCTCTAGGTAACCTGTTCCAGTGTTTTACTACCCTCCTAGCGAGAAAATTCTTCCTAATATCCAACCTAAACTTCCCTTGCTGCAACTAGAGACTGTTGCTCCTTGTTCTGTCAAGTCACTACACAGCAATAAAAAAATGAGATGCTGGGAAAGTGAGTATGACTGTGCAAGTAGTGAGTGCATCTACACATACTATAAATGTGTCTGAATAAACTCTGGCGCTCATCTACATGAGATGCTTAATGCCCATGGGACTAATCTACTGGGCATTAGTGAATTAGCATGGTTTTTGCCAGCCACACTAATGTTCAGTAAAGTCCAATGGGCCTTAAGCATCTCATGTAGATGTGTCCTTTCTTCAAGTCTTTTAGAAGTCTTTTGCAATTAGATCAAGAACCCAGAAGGCATTAGAAGCAACATTTGGAGTTGCAACTCAATGGAGATTGCAGTCAAGGTGCACAGAGAAAGTCTTCTTTGTGATGGGGAAGCAGTGTTTTGGCTGACTGTTTCAGCATGGGGGTAGCTTGTAAGTGGCTTTCAGCTGCAGTCAGGCATATCTCTTTGACTTTGCCTATCCCTCCTACCTTCTCCTCTCCTCTTCATGTTGCTTCCAATGGTGAGATTTTGGTTTCTGTGCTTTCAAAGATCAGTTGTGTCCTTGGATGATCCTATTTGATCTCACATCAAAAAACCTGTAAAATTCTACTGTGAAATATTTGCTTTGTTCCCCAAAAATACTTCCCCATGTTGTAGTAGCTCTGAATGCTCGAGAGAAAACACATGCATCTTGGTGCATAAAAATGCATCTTGGCGCAAATGCTGATAACTAAACCACAACTGCTATGGGCAAAATCAAAAATTTGAGGGTGGAAATGTATGTTATACAGAAAAAGTTATATAATCTAGTTTTGTATTTGACCACCGCAAAAACAGCTTGAGTCCTGGTACACAGTCTGGTTTAAAACCACAAGTATGTGGGTATTTAGCTAAACAGAGATGTGGCTGAGTAGCTGCAATGGAACAGAAATGTTGCTTCTACAGTTCGTATCTTTAAAACCAACTGCTTGAAATTATTTGCATTATGTTTTGCACTGAGAGACCACAACTGAAGTTGCGTTTCCGTTGCTCTGGGCATCATACAAATAGCTTTTGCTGTCCCTTGGGTCTAAAGGTGCTAGCCCAAGATTTGGGGGTTGCAAGTTTTCATGATTAAGGAAAAAAACTGATGAAGGAGGAAGAGATCTTGGATGCAACCCTGTTGATTTGCCAAAAAAAATATGTCCAAAATCTTGATTCTTCAGTCAAGGAGGAGTCATAGGACAGGAGGCAACTCTTTGCTCGCAACCCCAAGCCTCTGGAAGGAAGCACTTAACCCAATACCTTTTCTCTTAGGGCCATACATTGTGTTCATCCAGGCAGTTCCTCAACTGGGTTTTTTCTTTCCTTTCACGTCTACACAGAGAAGCCCCTCCACCCACCTAGTTCAGAACCTGTAGTGAACTCTCCTGTGCTTTTGACTTGTGTGGTGACACATACCTATGTTATGCTTTGGAAACAGTTACTGGTTTTGTAATGGAGCTGAAGAGCTGTTTGAAAGTGGGGGAGGAGGGTAGTGATTCCACCCACCAGCTTTGCCTAGGCTACGGCAAAGACCCAGCCCTTGTCTTACAGAGAGCGGATGATGCAAATGGACAATAGGTAGATGAAATGAAGATTATTTTCCCCGTTTTCACATGTAACACATAAGGTCCAGAGATTTGGTTAACTGCTCAAAGTCCCATGGGGTCTAGCATAGAGCTGGGAGTGGAATGGTCTCGTAGGTGTTCCTTAGCCAGAAAAAGAGCATCTTTGGTGAGGTTTGCAGAGTCTGCATGTGTCTCCTAACTCCCAAATCTCTGTAAAATTTCCAGGACTGTGTGTTCCAGGAGCTCCATGGGGCTTGTTCACAACTCCTAGCTCTCAGATTAAAGCCACCAAGAGCCTTCTGAACTAGAGCAGCACTGGCACAGGACATGGCAGGGGTCAGCCAAGCATGATCTTCCAGATACCCAGCACCAGCTGTCTTCAGAGGGACCATCAGTGCAAGGGTGTAACTGTTGGACAAGAAAGGGGCCGGGTTTGAATCACTCGCCCAACTGCTCCAGGCAGCTTCAGTAGACAAATGCCCTGTATGATTTAACTTATCAAGATTTCCCCACTCTTTGTATGACAAGAAACCTCCCCTGAGCTCTCAGAGCCGCCGTTTGCAGCAGACTAGGGGGCTGACTTACTCAAAGTGCAGAGAAGCTAGGAGTTGATGGAGAGGGGAGGGCACTGTGTGTAACACCAGTTGCCAAATGCATCCTGGCTCTGTGATGCAGTCCCTTTGATTAATGAGAGCTCTTCACTCCTGAGCCTTAAAAGGATGAAGGAAACCCACAGCATTGCAATAGGAAAGGAGCTCAACTGCTCAAAGAGGAGGTTCTTGCTGACCTAGGACACGTGGCTTGCTTTGGTTTCTAGTAATCTGCAGATCTCCCCACTGAAGGATCTATTTATCAGGCATTTTCATCTTGAGCAGTACATACCATGGCTGAGGACATTATCTATGCTGATTTAAACCTTCCGGGAGCAAAACTGCCATGTCCCTCTCGTCCCCATGGTAAGTGTGCTCCTGTTTTCTATGCTTTCTGTCAACTCTCCAGGTGAAAGAGCAGAGCAAGACTTTCCAGAACTGAGACACTGGTCTGTGGCTAATGAAGACCTCTGGTCAGGATCTAGGCTGCAAAATGATAGGTGGGAGATAGCTAATAGGTCCCTTCCAGCCCTGTTTCTCTCTGATCCTATGAAACATTTTACAGCATCAATACCAAAGGCTCACAGGATCCCTCCCAGCCAACGAGAGCCCTTGTACAGCCACACCAGGACAACCTATCCAGGCTTAATTTCTTTTTTAACAAATCCAGGCTTAATTCTTTTAACAGATTTGGTGTGGAAGCAGGTTAATGTGCTGGGTTTTACTATTCTCTTTGGAAAAAATGGCTGAGGTGACAACAACTAAATTGGGGAAAGAATGAGAGAGGCCAGGCCTAGAAAACTGGGGATCTTCAGAGACTGGGGTGTACATATCTTGTTTGAGAAAACAAAGATCCTGAGCTCACTTAAACAGGTATCAATGTGGATGTGATGCCTATTAGAATCGGTGGAGTCTCTCCAGATTCACATGGGGTTCTCCATGGTCAGAGCCCAGCCCCAACTCCCCCGAGCACTCCCAGGAGTGACTAGAAATAATGGTCACAAGCTGGCAGAGGGTAGATTCAGACTAGACATCAAGAGGTGCTACTTCACAGTCAGGGCGGCTAGGATCTGGAACCAACTTCCAAGAGAAGTGGTGCTGGCTCCTACCCTGGGGGTCTTTAAGAGGAGGCTGGATAATCACCTTGCTGGGGTCATTTGTCCCCAGTACTCTTTCCTGCCATGGTAGGGGGTCAGACTTGATGATGTGCTCAGGACCCTTCCAGCCCTACCTACTATGAAACTATGAATTTGGGTATAGGATTATTTAGGGTGTGGAAAGTCATCATGGGAGGCAATAGCAACTGCAGCAGGGCACAGAGAAGGAGGCACAGACCTGGTCTCTGACTTCAGTGTTGGCTGTAGGGCAAAACAAGAATGGGAAAGGAAAGGAATGTAGCCTGGGGAGTCTAGCAGAGAAAAATGGGGACCACATCTCCAAACCAGATCAGCCCCCCACCCCCGCATGTACCCGAGGCTGATTATATTGACTGATATGGCTTAATGCTCCCTTCTTCCTGGAAAATGGTATATTTGCAACTGGGCCGTTTTTATCTTTACTGAGAAACAAGCAGTGCAGTAGCAAGGGAGGGGCGGGGGGCAGAGAGGGGGGAGCAAATCAAGCAACCGCCCCAGGTGCCGAAATGAAGGAGCGCCAACAGGTGCTGCCCAGCCGATGCAGGACGCAGGACGAAGCCACAAGTGGCTCATTTGGGGAGAGGCATGGGGACAGGGGGAGGGTGGCTCCTGCTGCTGTGTGCACTCCTGGGCAAGCATGGCAGAGCGAGTGCCCCCCGGACCTCCATGCGAGGCAAGGGCAGGCTGCTGCTGCGGGCTTTGCCCTGGGCGCCAAACTTCTTTGCTATGGCACTGGAAACAAGACTGGGACAATAGTTCACAGCTCAGGTTCTGATGGTCTCTCTATTGCCTTCCCATGATCCTCCTGGAGCTGTCCTTCCCTGCCTTTCTACCTACTCCTCTTCTGCTGCAGGAAACACCTGCCCCTTTACTAGTTAACACTTCATCCCATGCATTACCCACTCTTCCATTTCTATATAGCACTCAGCCCCAAAACAGAGGACCAGCTAGAAGGTCATCATCCAAACATAATGTCAGCTGGACAAAGGGTCCCACCAAGGCTCAGGAGCAGAAAGAGTTTCCCTGCAGACTGCTAAGCCATCGCTTACATTTTAAAACTTAATAGTACTCTTGGGGGGCAGGCAAAAGACTGAAAGGGGTATTCATAAAATAGCTGCTTTCCTTGATGCTGGTTTTTGGTAGCCCTGATAGTCTACTAATATTTATGTACAACTGGATAAGCCAGAAGAGTCAAGGAAGGATGGTCTCTGGGTTAAGCTTCTGAACTGTGATGCAAAAGAGATCTGTTCCTACCTCAGCCATTAACTCTCATTTTACCAAACATTGAATTTTCCAGCTTCTCCTGAGTGTCCACGCTGGCATCAGCTCTTCTGGAAAATTGGAGTAGCTGGGTATGTTACCCTGCTGGGAATAATTGTAGTGCTGACTCTTCAGGGTGAGTAGATTGAGGCCACTTAATTCAGCTATATGTAACACAGTGTTACTTATAGTGAAGGCATTCTCACAATAAGGAGCCTTTTATTGCTTATCAATCCCCCAAGTTGCCCCCTTCACATTAAGTATTGCCATCTGGGTTCTAACAATTTTTCATAAATTGGGTAAAAGTGGCTCAGATATTTTCAAGTATGAAGAAAATGGAGAGGAAGGAGATTTTTTTTCATTAAAGGGGAAACAGTCAGTGACCTGTCTTTCTACAGCAGTGCCTGCTTAGCAGTGGAGTTGTTTGGGAGTTTTCCATCACAGTCATTGTACATTTCTTCCAAATGATTTTCTTCACACAGAATGAACCCCCCAGTACTATTTGTTTAGTTTTATTTTATACTTTGTGTCTTTTCGTTTGACTGGTTAAAAATAAATAATATACATTAGAAAATGATTAAACCAACCCCTGCTCTAAGTAGTGCTCCCTGCCCCCCGCTTCATCTTTTTGTTTTTTCTTTTAAGCCTTTCTTTATTCTGATGATGCAATGAATCAGTTTGACACTTACAAAGTGTCTGTGTCACACATAGCTCCCAGCACCTGTGCAGTTGTGCATAGATCAAAGAACCACGGGTGACACCAGTTAACAGCTTTCAAACAAAACATCCCTGTGTCATCCTTGCCCATGTGCCAGATGATGGAACATGTTGACACTGGATGACTTATCCACCCCAGACAAAAAAAATAAGCGGGGAGGAGAGAGGGGAGGGGAAAATGCACTCCTTTCTCTGTACATGAAAGAGGAAAATGGAGGTGTGGGGATAAATGCTTTGGGAGAGGGGGGGAAATAGGGTGAGCAGAACCCTGGTGGGAGAAAGGGTCAATC